AATAATAATAATAATAATAATAATAATAATAATAATAATAATAATAATAATAATAATAATAATAATAATAATAATAATAATAATAATAATAATAATAATAATAATAATAATAATAATAATAATAATAAAATAATTTAATAATAATAATAATAATAAATAATAATAATAATAATAATAATAATAATAATAATAATAATAATAATAATAATAATAATAATAATAATAATAATAATAATAATAATAATAATAATAATAATAATAATAATAATAATAATAATAATAATAATAATAATAATAATAATAATAATAATAATAATAATAATAATAATAATAATAATAATAATAATAATAATAATAATAATAATAATAATAATAATAATAATAATAATAATAATAATAATAATAATAATAATAATAATAATATATATATAATAATAATAATAATAATAATAATAATAATAATAATAATAATAATAATAATAATAATAATAATAATAATAATAATAATAATAATAATAATAATAATAATAATAATAATAATAATAATAATAATAATAATATAATAATAATAATAATAATAACGATAAAATTTCATATATTATATAAAAATCATATATTCAGTAAGCGGCGTGTTGTATGTGTTTAATGTCATTTATTTGTTAACCCGATAAAACAAAACTATATCTTTATTATCACTATTGATAGCACTGACACACAAACACTATCATATATTATCATCCCTGAGCTCGCAGTTAATGCCCACACCATATCTGCCAATTCCTTTCACAATAAGTGGCGATTCTCTTAAGCAATTCATCTCAAGTGAAAGTAATTTACTTAAAGAAACAAAACGAACAAAAAAATAAAGTAAAAACTAAAAAGCTTTTCATATATAACCAAAATGTAGACAAAAAACTAATTGTGAGTAAAGCCTATAATATTGGTTAAGTAGGGATGAGTAGCAATAATAACAACAACAACAAAAAACAGGGCACAGTTGAAATTTAAGCCCATATACAGTAAATCCATATGTAATATATTAATATAATATGAATAATGGATCAAAAAATATATATATATATATATATATATATATATAGTTTATGATTCTTAACAAATGGGTTGGACACACACACATACACATTATGGTCAGTCATACTWAGCGCACATACACTTTGATGGTAATGGTTGTGGTGGTTGAAAGTGGTATTACCGTAAAATACTATAATATCTAACAAAATGATATATAATTTAATGAAATGTATGTCTGGCGGCCAYAGGAAACACAGTCTAAACACAGAAATTTATTTTTACTTTATTTGTGTGAACACACAAATTACTTTTGAAGTTTTATTTTATTGTATGAAACAAATAATATTGATTTCCTATTCAAAGTATTTTTTTATTTCAACGATACAGTAGTCTACTATAGAGAAATATAATATATATTCAATAGTAATATAATTTTTGTTGTTGTAAAAAATTTCAGTTTCAATAAAATAAAAACATCTTAGTCTACAATTTCATTAAAACCATAAATTATATGTTAAACTTCAAGTTTAATCTAATAATAATAATAATAATAGGAAACTATAATTTGTATTCAAAAGTTAAAATATAGCTTTAAAAATGTTTTTCATAAATCAAATCTGATAAGAAAAKTTTTTTTTCAATAAAAAACTAAAACAATAAATTCAATATATGCTAACTGAGACAAACAATATCATATGATATATATTTTTTTATTTATCTGACAGTGCCTTATGTGACAAAACCGATTGTAATAATCATTTATTATTTGACGTATGTTTTTATGCTGAAAAAATATTTTCAACAATTTTTATGACATTAGCGTAAATTCCAGATATTGTTAATTAAATTACAGGAATTTATAGTACAAAGTATGCACTTTAAACAGATAAATTAGTATTATATTATGTATATGAAAATAAATAAATATTTTATAAGTTATAGATTAGAAATAATTATTTTTTAAGTATATACAATATATACTACAGTATAGTGTAATTATAATTTAATATAAGTTATTAAAATGTTTGTATAAATAATAAAATTAAAATAACAATATATAGTATGTATATATTATATAATGCCTATTGAAATTGCCAGAATATTCTGGTGTGTCTAAGTTATATAATAATTTTAACTATTGTATTATTATAATGCAGTATAAGTATATAAAATTATATTCACTAAAATAAAATAAATTAGTTTAATTTATTGTAAATTTTTTTACAACTATTTGCAATTATTGAAACTTTTTTGTTAGTATAGTATGATTGTGTTTCTACTGTATTTTATACTATTTTTAAGGATATAAATTTATATCTTAATGTTACAGTAGTTGCAAAAAATAACATATTTTTATATTTCCTCTGCGCTGTTATATCGCCGGGAATTTATCCCAAATTAATGTTAGCTCTAATAATAGGAGAAAATCGCTGGAAATATATATATATATATACAGTATATAGTGAATCATATAAACTCATATAAACCACAAAAATCTAATTGATATAAATAGCAAACATAACGGAGACTCGAAAATCCAAATAAATGAATCAATCGTTAGTTTTATTTTTTTTCATTTTAAGTATAAATGTGCTGTTTTTGCAAATAAAAAAATATGAGATTTTTTGTTTATACAATATAATTATATACAGTACAAGTATATATATATATATATATATATTGTATTTATATGTCAAATATTTGTGTAACTATAAAAAAAAACATTTTGTTTATACATATTATTTTTGTTGTTTTTGTTGATAATGTTAACACAAATTATCATTAATTCWTATTATTAGCACAACATTCAGTTTCCAGTGAATACTGTATATTAAATGTATATTTATTTTTTTTTGTAATATTTTAGTCATTTTTATATCATCTTAATAATTATTGAATGTTTTTTTAAAAATGTATTTAATTAGATGGGGTTTTGTAGTGATGTTAATTTTAAAATAAATATAATGTTTTAATTTATTTAGTTTATTTTATAGTTTCTATACTTATATTTTTTTGCTTATGTAATCATAATAAATTTATATATATAGTATATGTATACTAATATATATATATATATATATATATAAGTTAGTATTTTTATATATATATATATATATATATATATATATATATTAATAAAAACACATTAAATAAAACCTAAATACTCGACATAACTATAGCAATGAAATTTAAATGAAAGTAACAAAAATAAAAAACTAACTAAATTATTATGAGTTGTGGTTTAATGTAATGATATAACAAAAAAATTATTTTTTTCTCCTTCAATATAACCATAATTAATAATAAAGYATTTTATAATATTATAATGTATACTAAACAAACAATAATGTTTAATTATATTAATTAAATATATAATTTGGTAAAACAATAAAATAAAAAAATATATATAATGCCGCAATTTATATAATTGACAATCAAAATATTTGAAGTATACCGTAAATAATTATTATCATATAAAATATTTGTTATAATTTATTTATTTGATATAATTATAATTTTCATAACATAACAAACATAATTTATATTTTATAGAAATTTTTCAATTAATATAACTCTTATCGTAATTTATATGTTTATAATTACAGTATATATACATTTGTATTTTATATTATATAATCTTAAATTTGTGGTGACAATAAAAAAATTGATTGCTTTATATATATATGGTTAGACTTAATTATAGCAATAAAATATGATAACAAATAAATTTATATACATATTAATAAAAAAAACCTAACAATAAGTGGAAGAGTTTATTATTATATATTGTATAATAAATAAAAGTTTTACTTAAAAAAATTGACATAAATAGTGCAATTTTATGTGTATTTATATATATATATATATATATTGGTATGYATGCTTATATGTTTATACTGTATGAAAATAACAAGAAAATAAGTCAAAATAATAATTGTATTGTATATACAGAATATAATTTAATAATATATAAAAATTTAAAAATTGTTTTAATAGTAAAGCAGGTTTTAGGATTTTATTTTCATATATATATATATATAAATTTGTTATATTATATATATATATCATAATAGAGAATAAAAATTTTCATGAATAATAAAAATTTAATTTTTTTTAAACATTTCTTTCCCGTTATGTTTTGTTTCAAATCTACAGTATCTACTGTTCAGTGCACCRAAAAAATAAAATAATAAAATTATCTTAAATTAAATTTGTAAAAATTCTGTTTATTTTATATCTAATCTAAAAATGCGATAATCATATTACTATTGAATTACTAGAGGAATAAATTACAAACCAACAAAAAAAAACATTTTTCTTTTAATAATTTTTTTTGTCAAATAAATTATTCAGAGAACCAAAATCTTAAATTAAAAATTAATACCTATTATCAACAAATAGATTTAAAAAATAAATTGTGTTACTCTACTACTAAATTTATATCATCTATAATTTTTTTCTATTATTATTTGAGATTAAAAATAAATTATTAAAGAGTGAGTGATAAAAATATCATGTGTACTGTATGTGTGTGTATTTCATTTAACTATCTATCTATCAATGTATAGTTTTTGAGCCATTTTTTTGTAATTACATTAATTAGTATTTATTTTATAGTAAGCTATATTTTCACAATATAATCACTGTTATCATTGAGAAGAGAGAGAGAGAGAGAGAGAGAGAGAAATTGCGAGTCAAATAAATTAAAACTTAAAATCCATTTCAATAGGCAATCAAAATACTAACAACTAAAAACATTTATATAAATTGATAACAATAATAGTAATGATAATATTAGATAAAGAAAAATTCTCATAAATTAAATTTATATATAAAAAAAAATCTATAAAATTCATATAACATAATGATTATAATAATAAATATATATACATTTATAAATTAATTAAATAGAAAGCAATTTCATATTCAAATAATAATAAAATCAATAATATAGTAATGAACTATAATATTATATATTAATATATAAATCACAAACAAAAAAACAATACAAATATCTATCTGTAATATCATCAGAGCCTATGATTTTGAGCGTTAATTACAAATACAATTATCACCGATGAAATGCCGAAGATATCGGCAAACATACTGATGGCCAGACAATTGCCAGCCAATGATATCTTTGAACATTGTCTTCGCATACGACGCCCCACTCAGACAATAATTTCGCCGACAATTGTCTAACAGTTTCGGTGGTCGGCGTCGCCGCCGCTGTAGTTGTCACCGATAGTCAATCGTCATCTTCGTCATCGCCGGTAACAAATATTTCGTATTCTTCGAGAAAGTTGGCGCCGAACATAGCAAATAGGGCGCCGGCGTATAGTCCCAACGCTATAGTGATGGTCACCTTCAATAGGCCGAACCGGACGCGCGGCGGCTCTTCAAACAGGTCGTCGTCATCGCTGGTAAAATCTGTTGTCGTGTCGCTGCCGGTACTATAGCCGCCGCCACTCGAATCAGTAGCGGTGGCCGTTTGATCGTGTCTTGAGCTGTGGTCACCATCGCTGGTGTCTCGTTGTTCTTCGGGTGGCTGTTGTTGTCGTTGTTTTGTATCTCCAGATGAATATGAAGTCAATCGCCGTTTAATCACATTATCACTAACACTACTACCGGTAATACTATTGTTATTAAAATTATTACTAATGTTTTGCCGAAACCAATTGGCCATCACTTTGTGCCGAAACTTGTGGCTCATTGACACTAAACGCGAGTCCAATTGGTGGCCACTTTGATGATCATAGTCTTTATTATCACATACTGTGGCTGTTGTTGATGTTGTTGTGGCCGCAAATGAGTTGTTGGCGGTGATTGTGTTTGGCCACCAATAGTATGGCCGCGTATGATATGGACAACAACCAGTAGTGATGCTGAACGGCAGTGTTAGCGATGATCGTCGGCAACAACTATGGCCAGCGATGGATGAAACAAACGTCTTAACCACTGTCGGTGCGTGACTTTTGAGACCAATCGCCGGTAAGTTAAGTATTAAATTCAATTGCATTATACGGTCTATTAATATAACTACTAATCAATTGATTTATTAATTTTATTTACTGTAGAAAAAACACATAAATTTTATTATTTTTTATAACAGTTTTAAGGCATTCAATGATAACAAATGATGTGTTTGTTTGTTGTTATTATCAAACAATTAGATATAAATTACAAAAACAAAAACAATTGTTTTCACAATTCATTCATTGATTATTCAAATGTATTGATAAACAAAAACTATTTATTAAAAGTATTTATTAATTAATGATTAAACTTTTTTTTTGTTGATATCTTATTGTGTTATCACTATATATATACTGTAGTGTTGTTGTTAATTATAATAACAAAATACAATTCAAATGATTAAACACACATTTAAAGCACTGATTATATTATTATTATTAAAAATAGGGAGTATTTTAATAAATCATTGAATTTGTTATTTTTTTGTTAAGTTTATTATAATAAGTGTCTATTTGTTTTCTCTCTCCCTCTTTACATAACTACAGGTAATAATAATATTACAGTAAATAATAATAATAATTCAATATAATTAATGTTTGCTATGGGTTTTCTGTCTCCTATTACTGTATATATATATATAATAAAACAGTGACTAAAATATACAGAGAAAGAGAGAGAGAGAGAGAGAGACTATCATTGAGTGCCCAAACAGTAAGACTGTATAATAATAATAATGCACAGTATGTCTGGCAAATGCATTGCTTATACATTGATTGTATGGTTTACTACAGAGTCTGTGTAACTATTTTTAACTAAAAAWAAAATAAAACATTTGCTTACATCACACACACTATAAACATATTTACTGTATTTGCTATTTAGTATTATTATTATTATTATTATTATATTAAATTTCTAATGTATTACTATAGTTTTACTACAATTTAATTTTGTAMAATWTCTTTTTWTTATTATTATCCTTATAATATACAGTGATTAGTATTAAAWTTATACTAATAGTATAACTAAGTTGTTTTATTATCAGCAATAAATTTAATAATAATAATAATTAATAATTTTATCATACAATATGTTTGTGTATGCAATAACTCCCACTATTAATATCATATAAAGTAAAACAAAAATATTTAAACTAATATAATAGTAATATTARAGAAAAAATAAAATAAAATTTATCGTATGCTTAATTTATTATTAAATTTTTAATTAATTCTATACCAGGATATAAAAATTTTTTTTATTTCCCACTAGTATTACAATTGTTATTATTATAAATAAAATATTAATACCTGTAAATAAATCATTTAGATTATTATTACAATTGTTACTAAACTAATGGTGCATGGTTATATTCTAATATATTTATTTATACATTACATATACAGTATATGATAAAATAAATTCAGATTTATTATGTATATTAAATAGCACTCAAATATATTAAATAATATTTCTAAATAATAATATTATTATTACTGAATATCAAGCAAAATAAAAATAAAGTTACTGAAAACTTTCATTTCCGATTAAATTATTATTATTTTATCACAATTTATATATAGTTTTATATTTTTTTGGCCCAACATTGCCGTCTCGTGTGTCACACATTATCTATAAATTATATATTGATATAACATTTTATGTTAAAAAAAATATTTTATATTAAATATCATAACATACCTGAGATATACCTGTATARTGAAAAATACAGGTAGAGTGAGAGACMCTACACTTTAGCGCTTAGTTAGCTAAAACATACCTGTATTCAAAAATAAAATTTAAYTTATTTTTATTAATTTATAATATCAGTAAATATATAGTTCAATATTAATAGATGGCAATAGTTTACTTGAAATGTGTGTTTGAATTAAATTTAATATTAATATCAATACTGTATATAAAAATTCTGTAATAAAAAAGTTTCCCAAAAAAAAATGTGTGAATGTATTGCAAGTAAACATTTGTTTGTACTGTATATACAGTACTGTATAAACACTGCATTGTTTTGGTTTGTCAATTGTGTGTTACATCAATGGTAATCACTTGAATGGCTATTATTATTATTATTATCACAATTAATGACAATTAAGACATAGATTTTATAATAAGATAGTCAATTAATTTTGTTTATAAAATGGTCCATGGTCCAATCATATGATTTAAATTATAATTTCATGTGTTGTTGTTGTTGACCCAGATTTTTGTTTGTCTAACATTTTAGCCAACAATTATCACCTAAAATTTGATCCCATTGCCTACSAAAATAAACAAGTAAGTATCCAAATAGGATCCAGCTGATCCAATTTGTTTTTTTTGTGTGTGTATGTAATTACTATTAAGTTAATGATAATATTATCGTCACAACAAAAAAATAAATGATAACTAATTGAATGTCTATTTTGTTATTGAATCCAAACATTAAATCAATGGTTAAAAAACTATATATATATATATATATCATATATGAGATAATTGTTTTTTGTTTTAATTGATCCGCTAATCAGCTATTGTGTCCACACGTTTATTATTATTACGGTATTATTTTCATTTATYAAATGACCACTGAATTRTCAAATCACAAGCTATTTGTTCCCGTTTTTTATACAAATATTTAACAACAAAATAAAAGGATTCATTTGTTAACCACCGATGATWGTCAACAACAATGATAATTAAGACATTGTTATTATTGACACCAAACGCCAAGTTGTACACAATTTGTACCCGACATGTGGTCAAACGTTTTTATTGGTTATCGCATCGGTTGTCCGCTACCATCGACTGGCGTAATATCAGTGGCGACCGTAGGGCTACTACCGTTGGCGGCGGAGGTGATCTCAAAAACACACGTAATGTCGGTATAATAGCGCATATCGACGCGGGAAAGACCACAACGACAGARCGTATGCTCTACTACTCGGGCGAAACGGATATTATGGGTGAAGTGCACGACGGCGACACTGTTACCGATTATTTGCCACAAGAGCGGGAACGCGGTATCACCATTACGTCGGCGTCGATCACGTTTGACTGGCGCCGACATCGGATCAATTTGATTGATACGCCCGGTCATGTGGACTTTACGGTCGAAGTRGAGCGTTCACTTAGCGTACTGGACGGTGCGGTCACTATATTGGACGCATCGGCCGGTGTTGAAGCTCAGACATTYACGGTCTGGTCGCAGGCCAATCGCTACAGCATTCCTCGGCTCATATATTTGAATAAAATGGACAAATCCGCCGCCCGACTGGACAGCTGTCTGCACAGTATAGATCATAAACTTGGCGCCAAAACTCTGCCGATTCATATGCCGTTAGGTGCGGGCAAAGAGTTCAACGGTATCGTCGATTTGGTGACAATGGAACGGCACTTATGGCCTGATAATGGCACCGAAGGTAAAGTGTTTGACACAACACAACTGCATACCGGTGATGAACACTTTGCAGAAGCGCAATGTCTACGAGATGAACTGATCGGTGCGATTAGCGATCTGGATGAACAGTTATCCGAAGARATACTGGTGGCCAACAAAGTTGAGGACATAAGCGCTCAATCGGTTCAAAACGCACTGAGACGGGTGACCATTAAACAGTTGGCTTTTCCCGTACTGTGCGGCAGTTCCTATCGTAATGTCGGCGTTCAACTSTTGYTGAACTCGATGTGCCGATACTTACCCAGTCCTCTTGARAAARTACGGCCATTGCAAGCSTTATACGCGGGACAGTTGTGTGCGTTCGCCTTTAAGATCATATTTGACAAACGATTAGGTTGTCTAACRTTTTTGCGCCTATACTCGGGTGACCTGAAGAGCACCCAATCATTGTTTAACATGAATCGCGATAAATCGGAAAAAATTCATAAGCTATACATGGCTTTTGCCGATGACTTTCGCGAAGTAACGCACATAGGATTCGGTAATATTGCTGTCGTTACGGGACTCACGAATACCATAACTGGCGACACATTAGTATCGTCGCAAACAGTGGCCAATGAGGTAAGTCTTTTTTGAAATAACTATTATTATGTATCAAAAGATTTATTTTTTTTGGTTTTGCCGTTTCAGGTCAAACGTAAATACGAGAAAAATGAATCAAATTTAGAGCCAATRTTTGGTGGAATTTCGGTACCCGAACCAGTCTTCTAYTGTTCCATTGAAGCGCCATCATTGTCCAAATTAAATGCTATGGAACTAGCATTGGATAATTTGCAACGTGAAGATCCGTCATTTAAAGTGACCACCGATAAGGATTCGGGACAGACTGTTATCAAAGGAATGGGCGAATTGCATATTGAGGTAATGTAATATTACTGTAGTTATAATCAGTAATTTTTTTTGTGATCAATTATCTAATTGTTGAATATTGTTGTTATCATAATAGGTTATTAAAGATCGTATACTAAAAGAGTATGGAGTGGACACATATCTCGGTCCTCTACAGGTGTCGTATAGGGAGACAATAGTCGACGCGGCCATTGATACTTTAGAAGTAAGCAAAGCGGTCGGTGGAAATAAGAATCGCATAAAGATTACATTGCAATTGCGTCCCAAGTCGATGAAGAAACAGTCGGACGACACCAATAAGTTGATTCGAGTTGTGGTCACTCAGGATAACGATTTGGGAAAACTACGGACTGACCATTTAAAGGCAATTGAAACCGGTGTCCGCAATGCACTGGAATTTGGTCCGCTATTGTCTTTTCCAGTGGTCGATGTGTTTGTCGATTTGCTGGGATTTGAGACAACTTCTCGTACAACACTACCGTTTATTACCGCAACTGCCGGCCAATGTATTGCCAATTGTCTACATAAAGCTAGTCCACAATTATTGGAGCCTTATATGGTTCTCGAGATTACAACACCCGAACAGTATATCGGCTCAATTATTAGCGATTTATCTACACGTCGGTCACAAATCGGCGACATTACCGTCAAAAGTGATCTCCGAGTCATCAATGCTGTGACACCACTGTCCGAATTAGTCAATTATTCGACATTTGTACGGACACTGACCTCGGGAACGGCCAGTTTTTCTATGCATTTTGAGTCCTATCATCACATGAATGAAGCCGATCAACACAAAGCCATTCAAAAGGCATCAGGCGTTGCCATCAATTGATTGGCAAAAAATGTATTTTCGCTTAATTTCTTCAAAATTACCATCTCTTCATACAATGTGTTCAAACAAAATAGACATTTTTTAATTAGTTGTTATTTATTATGTTTTTTATTAATTAATTATAAATTAAATCATAAATTAATATAATAGTCATTATTTAATTCTAAATTGTCATATTATTTTACCATATATTATAAAATTATTTTTAATAAAATTGATTATTACTTTAAATAGATATCTTGTGTGTAAATCAATGGAACCGATAGCTCAACAGCCGTCATCGCTTCTGGAGATGACTTTCTCTGTGGTGATCAACATATGCGCCAAATGTGACGCCAAACGGCGACTCTATGAATGGCAAAAGTTTTGGCAAATGATAAGTGAATTGCCGGCAACATTGAAGGCCCGACTCATCCAATCGTTAGGCCGTTTGCATCTATTGAGCGACGAAAATATGGGTTACCTTATCAACAATGAATTACACGAACTTAGTCTAAATGATTGTCTCAAAAGTGATTTCACTGTCAATTTAATCCGACGCCACTGTCGCAATCGGCTCCGGTATCTGGATTTAGGTGCCCGTATACCCAACTATAACATGATATCGGCGCAGGCATTGGAGCCACTGTTCACTGTTTGCTATAATCTAGAAGAGCTCAGACTAAACAATTGTATAGAAGTTAACGACATAGTTGTAGACAGTATTGTACATAATTGTCCACAACTTCATGTATTACAGCTGTCCGGCTGTCTGTGTATTACCGATCGGGCGGTCAAATCAATTGCCGACAGTTGCCGTTCGCTGGTCAGTCTAGATCTGAGCCGAACGCCCATCTCTGATGACGGTCTCTGCTATTTTGCATCGGGCGGTGTCTGCGCCAAACAGATACGGGAACTGCTGGTCAAAGAATGTTCGTACGTGACTACCACTAGTGTTCACCAATTGCTACGGTCGTGTCCATCGATGACCATTTTCCGATTTGACGGAACCCGGGCCACAATGGAATCATTTTATCAGATCATTACCCGACCTAATCATATCATGTTTAATATACCATTTAATTGAGAATATTTTTTGTATAATTATTTTATTTTTAACTTATTATATATCAAATAATTATTTTTAATTTTATTAATGAACTCTTGTTTTTTTTCGTTTAAATAATTGACTCATTTTTAATTATATACAATAAAAATAATAATTTTTGTTTTAACAATTGACATCATAATTGAATAAACATTTTTTCATACAAAAAGTTAATTGAAATAATTATTTATTTATTTTAATGATTACATAATACAGTTAGACAGCAAATAGTTATATTTATAATTATTATAGATAATAATAATAATAATTAATATGATAAATTTTTTAAAAATATATATATATTTAACTGTATATACTGTATATAACAAACTTATTAATAATTTTCAGGTAAATCTGCGATTTCAAAAATGTTATTTTAATTTATGGCAAATGCAATGTAAAAATATATCAATATATAAATATCTATTATGTTTTTTTTGTTTATGTAAATGACAATATAAAAAACATTTTCAGAAAATTAATTAATAATAATAATAATGACAAATCATTTCAAGTGATTCATAGGATTGGTATTATCTGGTAATCCATTCTTTCAATCACGAGTTGATGGCTTCAATAATCTGCGACAATGTCATCATACCGGTCGAACTGCTGCTCGGCGACCAATTACTAGCGTTCAAACGGGACGCTCCGAGACCCGAATCGGTGCCCACAGCTCTCGAATATCTTACCGACTCATTCATCAACTGATTGTTCGGCATTTGAGAAACCATAAGATCAAAGTCATCGTCGTCATCGAAACCATCGTCACATTCATTGCTCACATCGACAACATTTTGATCCGCTTGGGGCTCATCAGCGGATACATCTATACGAACAGGTATTTCCATTTGCGATAACATCTCATCCAATGAGTCGTCTAATTCTTCCTCTTTATTGTTGCTGTCATTGAATTCTTCATCATTGAAGTCTTCGGAATCCAGTGTTAGTTGTAGAGAACTGTCTTTAGCCGTAGAAACCACTCCACTATTGTTTGGTGTCTTATTTTCAAGACATGTGTCCATTACTTTTGGACAACTATTTGTTATTTGTTTGATCTGTTGGGTACTAATCATATCAATGTCATCGTCATTAAGTATTTCGTCGTCAAACTCTTCGCTATTATTAAGTATTTCTTTATTCTTCACCGTTAGTTGATTACAATTATTCATATTTCTGTTATCACTGTTAACAGCAATAACACTGCCATTGTTAACAAAACTCTTGACGATAGGTTTAATTGGATTAATCCTATTCATCAGTAAATGTTGATTACTGGTCGACGGAACCGTTTGCTCAATGTTTTGATTATCAAAGTCTAAATCATCATTATTTTCTTCATAATCGTCGTCATCGTCATCCTCAACGTCTTGAATGGCTTTAAATTCTGCCCACAATTCAAATGGATTGTCATCAGTGGATAAACGATTAGTTACATCTGGTCTATCTTTTAACAAATGTTGATAATCAATATCTACACAATCATCGGCTTCACCATAAGTAATCAATTGTTCATCGACTGTTGCGATGTTTGTGGTAACAGTTGACACATTGTTTTTGGCCAATTGGCTGTCGCCAGAGGTCTTAAGCCGTGTGTATCGATGAATTCGTGGCGATGGCGACAATCGTTTACAGGCGGGAAAATAATTGGGCAAATCATGCGTTTCTTTGGCAACACCTGCAGCACTACTACTACTACTAATGCAGTTACTAGTTGTTGCTCTTAACGGCGATTTAGCCGATCCATCGACAAGTGGCGGACGATTACGATGGCGTCGGACGGCATGCGTTTTCGGAGTGATATCTTCAGTGATCTCTTTAGATGCTGTTGATGTCGTTGTTGTCGATGATCTGCTCTTTCGCTTAGCACTTGTTGTCGATGATCTTCTGGCCATAACTACTGTTGTCCACAATCGTGTCCGTCAACTACGATGACAACGACAACGACAGTATTGGCCCTGAAATGTGCGCCAAAATACAGACACAAACAACAAGTATGTCTTCACGTCTGCACTTTATGAATGCTATCTGCGATACCAAAAGTTACTATTAATTATTAATCTTTTAATGACTAAACAGTTAATAATCCTCTGTCTTAAGTGTTTGTGATTATCACCAAAAAAAAGTGATAATCAAATGATAACAATAACAACAATACAAATCATATGAATGGTTAACAACACAAACATAAAGATAACAACAAAAGTGCTATAAATTCATATGAATTAAACAATACTAATCGCTGATTGGCTAATGGACTGGTCACGTGTTGTCTTTACTTAACTGTAAAAGTATTTAAATGCAAATGTAATACTGCAATAAATAAACATCAATAACGTATATTTAAACTACTTTATTATTTGGTCCCCCCATCCATAGCTTTATACACAATTAAATTAAATTAGATATATTTACTAAACGTTATTTATTACCATAACAAGTGTCAAATGTATTATCTTTTTATATTATAATAATTATTTTTGTAGACACATTGTATACAAAAACATATAGTTAGTTGTCTATAATATTTGTACAAATAGTGTATTTTTTTTATACTACAGTCTATTGGTTTTACACGTGTTTACAATAAAATCAATCATTCATTCATTCATTCATTCAATTAAGTCATTCATTGAATAAGTTGTTTACGTAAAGACCTGTTGTTGTTGTAGTAGTGGTTAAAGACATCTGAGATCAGCTCATCTGAAGACTTTCAGTGCCGGCGGCGATGTATTACTGCTTTTAATAGTTAATAACAATTATCATATCATTAGACCACAAGACATATCATATGTGTTTTTTTTATGAATCATTTATTTGATTGATTTAAGAAATGGATTACTTGGAGGAACAGACCAACGAATTGGAGGCTCTGGAGGCCATCTATTCAAACGAATTAACAGGTAATTTGAAGACTTAATTGATATATTGAAGAATAGTTTAGTTGATTGATGAAACTAATTATTTGATTTTTGATTTATTTTTCTTTAAAAGTGGTTAAACGAAAACCTCATCCGATATTCACTATTGCCATCAAATCGGATCCGCAGAAGAATGACGACGAAGACAATCAATCAGATACTATATGTATGTCTTGAGTGTTGTTGTTGTTTGCCATCAAATAATAAATTTATTGATCTGTAGATGAAATAGAAGTTCAGTTTAAGCTAACCGACACATATCCCGATTCTTTGCCGGTCATCGAAGTGACCGAATCGGACAATTTGACTGATTTTGATGAACAAGAACTATTGGAACTGTTGGAGAGGGAGGCCAACGACAGTCTCGGTATGGTTATGATCTATACGCTGGTATCGGTGGCTATCGATTGGATTAATCGTAAATCCGATGAAAAGTATAACGAACTGAAAGAACTGTTGGCCCGAAAGCGTCGAGAAGAAGAAGAAGCGGAACACAAGAAATTCGACGGAACACAGGTTACGGTCGAGACGTTTATGGTTTGGAAGAAACAGTTTGACGAAGAAATGCAACTCTTGGACAAAGAGTTGAAAACGAAACAAGAATTGGCCAAAAAACTGACCGGAAAACAGTTGTTTGAGACAAACAAATCTCTGTTCGAGAGTGACCTACAGTTTCTCGATGATACCGATCAGGACATCGATACGGATATCAAAGTCGATGAAAGTCTGTTCCAGAATATGGATGACCTGGAAATCGATGAAGACTTGGAATAATATTTATTAAGAATTTTGTATTAGTTAATGAATGAGTGGGTGAGTGAGTGTGTATTAGAGAGATTTATTATACAAATTATTATACATAGATTTTTTAATGTAATGTAATGTTTATGATAAACATATATATTATTTGTTGTACAATCAATCACTTATATAAACTTTTAATTTGTTTAATAATTATTAATTTATTTAATAATAAAAATAATAATAAATTTTTCCAATTATATGATTTTTCTTAATTGATTCAATTTTTATGACATTACGGTAATCGAAATTATTGGTCATTTGATTAACAAATAAAACAATCACCATTTTCATTGAATCTTCAAATTTTCATGTATCGACTATTTGGCCAATAATTTTTTGATTCATATGAAATCGTTGAACAAATTGCGAGTTTAAAGGAATGAACGAATGGTGTGACTGGAAATTGTTGGCCACAAATCTGGTAGTAAAATGTCGGCTAATGTCAGGCCAAAAGTCGTTGACCATTGAGTTTATACGTAGTGAAGAGCGATACAAATTCATTGAGACTATCGCTGGACTGTTCAATGAATTAATGCCAAAAAAATCTGATTATTAAATGAATATTTAATACTAAAATGAAAATATAATAAAATTATTGATTTCATTATTATTTGATTTGATTTTTTTTTTGGAAATTATTTTTGTTTCGTTTTTAAATTCGTAAAATTTAAAATTGTTTTGTTTTATATAATTATTTTTTAGAATTAATGAGAAGATAATTATATTACTGTATCTATACTTTTAAAAATAATATATATTTTTGTTGTTTGTTTGTTTGAATTCATTAGTTATTGAATATTTTATTCAAACTTTTTTTTTAATAGAAATAAATTATTTCTATTATTTATTTATTTAATATTTGGATATAATTGATTGCAAACTTATTAAATATAAAACAAATATTTATTTATTTTATTTTGTATTTATGTAATCGTAATAATATTGTATAAAATTTATAATCATTAACTATTAGTTTCATCAAAAACTTTACAACAAAAAAGTAATAATAAAGAGATWAAAAAAATATGTTTAAATAAATTTAACTGAACTGTACATTGAATTAGTGAATAATCTAATTATTAAATGAAAATAATTTTTTATTTAATACATATTTCAAATTATTAATTATTTGATATCATTAATTAAATTGTTTAGATTGTTGTAAATAAAAGTTTATGATTATTTTTGTGTCTAATTTATTATAAATTGTTGTGCCTGAGTTTGTATGTTTGGACACAACTTAGAGGAATAGGAGAGCACCGGTTGTTATGCGTGGGTCGGTATGAGGCCTACAACCGATTATCAACCAATTCCTTATAGATTATCACCTGAAGGGTCGGTATGAGACCTATCGGATGATAAAAGGGTAGATCACTTGCAGTAGTGGTGGCCAAGCGTAAAGCTAGAGCTGATCCCAATCTGGATGTCTGTACTATCTCTTGATATCACGCGATACGGAACGGTAGGTTAGAGTTGATGGACAACCGGGTTGTATGTATGTCTTTAATGATGTGAACAACCGGTTGGACTCTTGAAGTGATCGTTTCTATGATGATAATAGCGATGGTAATGAATCGTATGATTAACACAGGTATAAGATAATTATAACAATTTATTGATTAGTTTAAGACAATTGAGGATACAATGGATTGTATGGTTAAAATGGTGCTATCAGTGGAGCACATGTATGATGTGAGTACAGTATGATATGTGAGAGTCAGGTATGACTGTTGTGTATGACGGCTGGCACTGTACTAAAGTATGTGTATACTGTAGTACAGTATTTATAGTGTTTGAGAGAGGACGGGTAGTTATAGGGAATGGTTAGCTATCATTGGATAGTTTGAATGTGGGAACCGTTGAACAGTTAGTTTGGTGCCAGAGGTCTGAGGTCAGCAACCGGTAAGTATAAGGAACTGTATAACCGATTGAAAAGCAATACTAAGAATTTAGCATAAAAATAGGATATAAAATAAATGTATACAAAATTATTGGGAATTTAAATACAAAAATACTTTATAACTAAATTAGCTTAAGGTAATGTAGTGGACACTACACTCCCCGGCGGTTTAAGACTGGTCAAAGAGTTAAACGGTTGAGTGAGACGATGTGGACCAGGAGTGAGACGTTTAGCCGGTTGTGATGGATGTCCGCGTTGAGAGTCCGGTAATTGGAGTCGTGTGTTACGGAATCGTAGATTGGGAGAGTTGGATGGGATGCGATGGATATTACCGGAAATATGTTTGTTGTATGTATCGATGCGTGAGAGTCGGGACTGTTGAGGGCGAATAACCGGATGTACAGCGCGTAGTGGTGTAACGGTAATAGTAGGTGTGATGTCCCTTAAGTAATGCCGATGTTTGTATGGATGCGATGGTTTTGCGGCATTAGAAGTCGTATTGATTGGACGGTAGTCTTTACACAAGCGAGGTTTTCCGTCTGTATTCATCGTCGAAGTGATCGGTAAAGCGTTACGGCTGTCCCGAGAAACATGGATTTGGTGATCCTTCGCTTGACGTGCAGCTTTGGCTGCAAATGGATGCGATTGACGGGTGCGCTGTGCGGTGGACTGTTGGTCTATCTTTACGATGCGGTGCTTTTGTTTGTATATATGGCCATTGGATTTGTTAGGCAACCGGTTTGGAGAAGGTATACGACTGATGAGATTGCAGTAACCGGTTGATGTCCCTGAAGTGGATGAGTTTCTCTGTTGTTGCCATTTGAATGATACGGTTTGTGTCTGTGTGTCAATGATGACACCGTATTGGCCAAGAGATTGGAGAGATAGCAGTAATGTGTAATGAAATCCGTTGATGACCTGTGCTTTGATGGTGCGGGTCATCCGATTGATGGTTAAGTCAAATGTGACTTCTCCGAGAGTACGAGCTGATCCACGCGCCAGTGATACGTCGGTAGAGCGGCGGCGGTCGATATGGAGTCGGAGGTGTTTGACGACATCTAATGGTATGATGTCTACAGTTGATCCGGGATCGGCGAATGCTGATAACTCGAACCGATTGATGCGGCCCGGGATCAATATCATATCCAGTGGTGTGGCTTCGGTAGCCATGACTTTACTACGTATTATATGTGATGATGCGGCTGTTATACGAGTAGGTGGACCGTCTGTGGATCCTGTGTTTGGATTGATGGCTGCTGGAGGACAAGATTTATTTGGGCAATCTTTATGGTAATGCCATGAAGTGATGCCAAGATCTCTGCAGATGCGGCAGGAATAGGGCGGACGTAGTTTGTCTTTGTTGTCGCGTTTAGGTAACCGGTTGTCATTTCGTTTGTCATCTGTGTAATGTGATGATCCGTGAGGTCGGTTGATGCGGTTACCGGTTCGTTGCTTGTCGGTCTCGATGTCCTGAGCCATCTCGAGCCATTGACTGGGAGTCTTGAAGCGTCGGCCATAGAAGTATTCACGGTATTCAGGGAGTAGGCCTTCCGTGAGTAGGTTTGCTCTTTGATTGTCGGTGTAGTTTTGGAGGCGTCTTAAAATCTCCATTTTATCATCGAAGTATGCGCGGATTGACTCCGATCGTTGTTGGCGCCGGCGGTTGGCGGCCACTTCTGGAGGAATGTCCAGTCGGGTATATCTGTTGGTAAGCAGTTGCTTAGCTTTGATCCAGTTGATGGATGTGTCGATGAGTAGGTCTGAGCCGTAATAGTTGGCTGCGTCTGATTCGAGGAACTCAACGATTTTGATGAGTTTGTTATCATCTGTGAGATGAGCGAAGACTCTGTCGAAGATTAAGAGGAATGCTTCGATACGTAGAGATGAGTCTTTAGTACCATTAAACTTTGGTATCTTCACTGAGAGCATCGGTGCTGAGCCAGTGGTAGAGGATCCGTTGGTGGCTGAGTTACCGGTTGTACCGATTGGTACACAATTAGATGAGATACCGGTTGTGTTGTCTGCGATGGCATTAACCAGATTTAGTGTATCGTTGTCTTCACCATTGATGGACATGTCTGATGTGTTGTTGGTTACTGTGTTGTCTGAATCGCTATTAGTTGAGATATCTCGTCGAAGATATGGAGTTCCGTATCTAGTGAACCCTGTATTGATAGTCGTCATCCAATACGCGAAGATATGGATCTTTTAATGATCCTACCGACTGCGCCAATTGTTGTGCCTGAGTTTGTATGTTTGGACACAACTTAGAGGAATAGGAGAGCACCGGTTGTTATGCGTGGGTCGGTATGAGGCCTACAACCGATTATCAACCAATTCCTTATAGATTATCACCTGAAGGGTCGGTATGAGACCTATCGGATGATAAAAGGGTAGATCACTTGCAGTAGTGGTGGCCAAGCGTAAAGCTAGAGCTGATCCCAATCTGGATGTCTGTACTATCTCTTGATATCACGCGATACGGAACGGTAGGTTAGAGTTGATGGACAACCGGGTTGTATGTATGTCTTTAATGATGTGAACAACCGGTTGGACTCTTGAAGTGATCGTTTCTATGATGATAATAGCGATGGTAATGAATCGTATGATTAACACAGGTATAAGATAATTATAACAATTTATTGATTAGTTTAAGACAATTGAGGATACAATGGATTGTATGGTTAAAATGGTGCTATCAGTGGAGCACATGTATGATGTGAGTACAGTATGATATGTGAGAGTCAGGTATGACTGTTGTGTATGACGGCTGGCACTGTACTAAAGTATGTGTATACTGTAGTACAGTATTTATAGTGTTTGAGAGAGGACGGGTAGTTATAGGGAATGGTTAGCTATCATTGGATAGTTTGAATGTGGGAACCGTTGAACAGTTAGTTTGGTGCCAGAGGTCTGAGGTCAGCAACCGGTAAGTATAAGGAACTGTATAACCGATTGAAAAGCAATACTAAGAATTTAGCATAAAAATAGGATATAAAATAAATGTATACAAAATTATTGGGAATTTAAATACAAAAATACTTTATAACTAAATTAGCTTAAGGTAATGTAGTGGACACTACAAAATAAAAATCTAATGTTATCTAAGGTTACTATTATTGTCTTTTTAATTGTTACACAATTGTTAAATATTACACTTATTATTAACAAATTATGTTTTTTAAATTTTATTATAAACAAATTTATCATTATTTATTTCAACTATTAAAATTTTTATCAACTATAATTTTCAATTGATAAAATTCAACATTGACTTTGATTTTAGTAGATTTATTTACATATTAAAAATAAACCAGTTAAGAATGCTAGAAAGCATTTTCAGAAAAAAAACTTGAATAACATTGAAAACTATTAGTTTTATAATTATAGCGGCTATATAATAACATAAAAATTTAAAAACTGGTCAAATATACATAATATAAATATTGTCRTGTATGGTATCAAATGATTCAGTATGACAAAATAAACAACTATAGTCATGTGGGGTATCAAATGATTTAGTATAACAAAATAATCATCTATAATTATACATTTGCCGCTTATATTTTTTCTTTTTGTTCCCGTAGATATCAAAATTTAATGCATATTTTTTATCCTTGTTTTTGATGCTTTATTCAAATCTATACTTTAAAAAATTCTTAAAATTTTTTATACTTTTGCCGCCATTTAAAAAAAATTATACTGATATATTATATCATATTTTTGATACTTTTTACAATTCTAAACGTTAAAATTTTTACCTAATTTTTTTTACTTTGGCCGCCATTTTCTTTATGTTCCCAAAGAGATCAAAATTTTAATGTATATTTTTTATTCTTGTTTTTGATGCTTTATTCAAATCTATACTTAAAAAAAATTTTCTTAAATTTTTTTTACTTTGGCCGCCATTTTGTCTATGTTCCCGTAGAGATATCAAAATTTTAATTAAACTTTTCAATACATTATTAGTAGTCCTCTAACCGAATCTGAAGTCAGAATTTCAAAATTCGCAAAATGAAATGCTACAGACAGACACACACACACACACAAAAGGCTCGTATAGATTTCAGAAAACAAAACTTTTCAAGTTTTTTTTGAAAATAAGTCTATTATTATCTATTAATATTGAGATTAACACTGATTTCAATATCATTGATAAAATTAATATCAATTACTTGTACTTGTCAAATAAAATCAAGTTTTAATATTCAACAAAAATAAAAATTATTTTAATAGTTTGATAATAATTCTATTTATGTAATACTATTATTTTCCACTATTTAATATTAATTTATACATAAGTTATATATATATATATATATAAATTTTAAAGTTAATTATACATTAAATGATATTAATTTTTCTGTATAATATTGAATTTCCATAAACTTGAACTATACGTCTAGCGCACCTACCTCAAAAATTGCACTTTCCTTATATTATTAATACCGATACCATAATACTGTGTAGACAGCAAACAAACAAATTGCTAAAGTTAGTTAAGCATGCATTCATGTATATATATACATACAGTATTATCATTATTAAAATATATAATTATTTTATTTATTTTATTTTTTGGTATCTAATTGAACATTACATCTATTAACAAATTATTAAATAGTTTTGGGGGCATTTTTTTCCACATTGACACTTACATACCAGCACTGGTATCCTGATATCATCAGCGCACAGTTATCCAATGGGAAACCTGTTTCCTACCGTTTATCAATACTGTAGACAAACACATACATACTCTCTCTCTCTCTCTCTCTCTCTCTCTCTCTTCAAGGCCATTTAGCCAACTAACTACTAGACATTTAGCTAACAGCTAACTGTCCCAAAAGTACTCATCAAAAAATTAATTTTTTAGTGCATTATCATAACACAAATATATTACAAATCAAATATCCAGACAGAAACTACAGGTTGTGTTTTTGTTGGATATTCAATATATACTTTTAGTAGTATTAGTTAATTAAAAAAAAAAAATTAAATCTAAATTATTATCATATTTTCAAATAATTAATTTAATTTGTTTGCTTAGTATATATATATATATATATATATAAAAAATATATTAAAATTTACTTAATTAAAAAATATGGGTATTTTGGGAAAGTTATTAACGCTGACAATACTTGTTGCTGTCGGTGCAGTAGTTTATCAGTTATTGCTAACACCAGAACCAGAAGTACCTAAAATACCGGAGCAATGGTTCGGTAAAAAGCAACTGAAAGGTTTGTATTGATATAATAATATTATTTTTTTATTATATTGATATCGAAATAAATTATTTTATTGAATAGCCGGCGAACCCATACCTAAGGATCCGTTGACTATCAATAAGTTTACAATCAATGTATCGGATGAGGTATTAACAGATCTCAAGCATCGTCTAGATTTGGCCCGTTATGTAGAGCCAATACCCGGAACTCAATTCAACTATGGATTTAATGGCAATTATCTGAAACAAGTGGTCGACTACTGGAAAACAAAGTATGATTGGCGTCAACAGGAAAAAGAGTTAAACAAATTCAATCACTTTAAGACACAAATCAATGGAATTGATATACACTTTATTCACGTAAAGCCATCAAAACCGGCAAAAACTGTCGTTCCTATTCTGGTTTGTCATTAAAAAATATTTTTTATAAATTATATTTTATTTTGTTAATTATTGTAATTTAATAATTAGATAAGTCACGGATGGCCGGGATCTGTATTGGAGTACTATAAGGCCATACCATTATTGACTGAACCGACAAATGGTGTGGCATTTGAAGTGATCTGTCCATCAATTCCTGGTTATGGTTGGTCTGAAGCACCGCATCAAACGGGTTCGTAGTTTTGTATTTTTATAGCAATTATTAAGGATTTTATGGAATATTCCTATACTTATTGAATATATAAACTTATTTATACAACAAACTTATTATTACAAACAAATAAAATATAATCAATTATTGATATTGGCGTATATTATTCACTACTAAAGTAATAATTATTATATACAGTAGTATTTAAATAATTTATAAAAAAAAGTAATTTTCTATAATCTTTTTAGGCTTCAATGTACCGCAAACGGCCCGTATATATGTAAAACTAATGGAAAGACTCAATCACAAGACATTTTTTGTTCACGGAGGTGACTGGGGGTCAGCCATTGCCCAGTCTATGGCCATATTATATCCAGAAAAGTAAGCACTTTTAGTATAGTATATCTACCATATATTACATATAATTTTCATTTCTCACAAAACACTTTTAAAGTGTTCGCGGATTACATACAACGTGGGGATCAATGCCCAGCAGAGGACTGCCGCTAATAAAGACAATAATTGGCGCGTATTTACCGCAACTGGTCTTCGATAACCCCGAATCCGACTATAAGATGGTGTTTCCGTTTTGGGAAAAATTTAAATTTATGGTCCGAGAATCGGGATATATGCACCTTCAGTCCACTCGTCCCGACACAATAGGTGCAGCACTTGTGAACAGTCCAGTCGGTTTAGCCGCTTATATATTGGAAAAGTTTTCCGTTTGGACTAATCCAGCCTTTTTGGACAAACCGGACGGCGAGCTGACCAAAAAGTTTACATTAGACGAGTTGTTGACCAATATTATGATATACTGGACGTCCAATAATGTGGCCTCAAGTATGCGATACTATAAGGAAAATATTCCGCTATTATTTACCGACTTTAGTCTCGATAGGTCAGTTACMAAATTATTAAAATTTATTTTTTTAAATCAGAAAAATAATTATCATTTTATTTGGTTTTACAGATTTTGCATCAAAGCCAGTGTGCCGTCAGCTGTGGCCGACTTTCCCAATGAGTTGCTACGATCTCCACAGTCACTGACCAAATATCACTACGAAAATCTGATACAATACACATCAATGCCCAGAGGCGGACATTTTGCCGCTTTTGAAGAGCCAAAACTGGTGGCCGACGATATCAAAACATTTGTGGCCAAAGTGTTGGCCTTAGAGTTGGCACAGAAGTCAAAACAAAATACTAAAATATAATTGTTTTTTTTTTAATAAACGAATACTTATAAGCTGTTATTACACACATTTGTATAATTGTTTTTTAAACAGTATTTATAAATTGTTAAGTATTTGATTGTGGAAATTGATATTAACTCTAGTCTTCGGCATCTGCGGTGTACTGTTGCCGGCAATGGATCTCAACAATTTGACCGACTTTTCCACGTCGACGGCTTGAATGGGCTGTTCGGGTGTCACTTTGTTGTCACAAATATAATTCAATACCGAATCGGGTAATCGCGGTTGACTACTGGCAATAGTCGGTCCCGAAACAAATGAATGTCTTAGATGTTGCTCATTATTATTATTTTCATGACAATAATTGTTATTATGATTGACTCTGGATATTCCTTTAGGTCGCTTAGTGGTCAAACCTGGGGTAAACTCGACGGTCAAAAAGCTGTCGGCCTCACGATTGTTGTTATTCAAGGTATTAGGCGGCGTTAGTATCGAATTGATAGCCGATCCTAATTTCAAGTCATTGTCGTTGTCATCGTCTTGCGAGTAGCGCTCGCTAAACGGTTTATAGCCGTAATCTTTGATACCAGAGTTGTCTTCGATATCAAACACCATCTGTTTTAATGTATTTATACGTTTGGCCGATTCGGCGAGTGGCGGACCCGAAGCTTTTATTGTGTTATACAGGTATGTTATTTCGGCCTACAGTTGATGAAATGTGTTGTCAAAGAAAATTTATTAACAACTATTGAACCAAGAGATTGGTCCACAAATAAGTGGATGGACTGTACTTACATAAGTGTTGCGGACATTCTGGTCAAACCGCTTGGCCTTCATTAGGTCGGACGTCAGCTGATCCTCCGATCGCTGGTATCTGTTGTCCACCATTTCGCGCAACTGTTTAACTTCGGTTTCAATGTGTTGGACTCCAGAGCGCAACCGATCAAAGAAACTCATTGTCGTGGATGTCGTGGATGACAATCAAATGGTAAACAATAATATCAATAATAATAATAATATGTTTTATTTGTTTGTATTATTAATTCAAATTGAATGCAATCATCCAATTGAGCGCTCAATCAATGCATTCAAACGAGTCAAACAAACACATGTTTAGCGACATTTGATTGGATGGTTAGCTGATGTATGTGTGTGTGTGTGTGTCGGCTGTGGCGCAGACTCACTGTCTGTGATAGCTTTGAATACAATGATTGTACAGTAAATTATATTGAATACATTTTTCTATTTATTTAACACACAGTATTCAATGCAGTGATGTATTCAATACATACAAACACACACCCATTGCCAATAAATTAGCGCAACATTTGAATACTATAATAACAATTGACAATACGTTTGAACTGTTACTCATTCACTGTACTCACAGTTTTCTATTATAGAGTGATCGACCAAAAAGTTTTATTCAATAAATTAATAAACTTAATTTGTAACAAAATTAAAGCGGAAATTTAAAAAAAAATTAAAGAAATAATCAAGATAATAAATTTAAATTTTTATTAATTCACTGTATTATTTATTAATTAAGTCACTAGCTCATATAATATTTGACTTAAARATATTGTTTAAACTTTATATATAARTATATAATATATAACCTTAAAATAACTTTCAAGTGTGGCAAATAATATTTATGGTCACTGTATCTGTATTTGACTCAATGCTATAACTGTACTGTTATTTAATATACATGTAATTGATTTTAATATTTATTATTATTATTATGTATTAATATTATTGTTTATTTTATTATCATATATACATTCAACAGTTAATGACACTAATAATAATAATAATGTAATATTATTTGTAAACTAAATGTACTGTAAAGTGTACACGTGATTAAAAAAAGTATCAAGTTAATTTAATTTGCTTATTTTGTTTGTTTGTTAAATAATAACAGTAATAAGTTGTTAAAGTTTTACGATCAAGGTAAGTTATCATTTTTTTTGATTATCATTAATTTTTTAAAATTAATTATATAATTAAATTTAATTAACTGTAGCTTGTATTTTAATAATTATAAATATGATATTTTTTATTATATAATGTTATTATAGTTATTATTAATATATAACAAGTTAATTATGTAATAAAAGTATTATTTTTTTTGGTAGTTATTATGTAAAGTATATGATAATAAAATGACAATGATAATTATTATAATAATTTATAACTTAACATTATTAGTTAATTAATGTATACATTGAGATAAATTAATTATATTTTTAGAAAAATTAATATAAACTTGCTAGTTTGCCATAATTAGTTTATTATAGTTTTTAATATAATTATGATTTTTTTTAAATAAAAAATACTTAACAGATATTATTATTTTAATAAACATTTGGCGCTTGTATTGTATTAAAATAAAAATATTACTGTAATTATTGTACATTGATCAATATAATTGATAATATAAATAGTTATTATAATAATAATATAATAATTGTAACATATGTGTGGTTTATTATACTTTTTGTTTGTGCGGAAATTTTATCAAAATAAATGCTAAACCGTTACTAACGGTATTTATTCATATATATATATACAGTATATATATATATATTATTTTATTTATAATATTTATTATTATTATTATATAAAATACATTATTGATATCCATGAGCACACTGTTAGTTATTGATACTGATAGTCCAAACTTTATACTGACAATTATTATGTAGTGTATGGCACCCATAACTCAAAGTTTGAACCCGTGGTGTATAAGTATATAATAAGCTTATAGTAAATAGTTGGTCACACTTATCGGTGTTTTTTTTTGTTGTATATTTTATAATCAAGTTTTTTTTTTAAATTGTTTGTCAAACAATAATTATAATTATTTCTATTATATTTCTATTTATATATTTAAGTACCGTATCTATTGTTTACTATTAAGATATACAGACTACAGTACAATATATTGTTTTAATTGCCGCTAATATCTAATAAGTTATTTAACAGTTACTTGACTTTTGTGGGGGTAAACACAGTATTATTATTATTATTATTACACTTATACCACTTGTATTGAATTAATCAACAATTATTTTAATATATAATAATAATATTATATAGTATGTATAGTATAATATATACCCATACACATTTTACTATTACATTTGATATTACTTATCTAAATATATAATTTATATTTATACATTTATTTAATATTTTTTTGTTATATATAAATTTATATATGCAATATTTTTATTGTTGACTAAAAAACATATTTTATCAGTAATTTATTTAGTATTGATWATCTCTACAGATATCTACTATAAGATTATTTGTAGTTTTTTTAATGATTTGTTTATGTTTAGAATAATAATAATAAATTAGAAMTTATTATTATTATACTAGAAATAAATTGATACAATAATTTACATATTAATTTGATACTGTCCAGGTCATCATTATATATATATATATATATATATTATTTGTACCAATTTATTATTATTTTATTTTTGTTGTGTGTGTGTGTGATAAGCATCCTATTTATTTTGCAAATTATATTTTTTTTATAAAAAATTGTGTTAATAGTTAATTCAAGAAATAAAAAGTCAAAATTATTAGCAAAAAAAATATTTATTATTATTATAAATAAAATAATTTGTTTCTTTAATATATTAATAATAAAAATAATAAGTTATATATATATATATATAAGTATAGATATATATAGAGCGTTTGTAGTATTTTTAGCTCATATTTTATATATAAAATAGAGAGAAAAACGTGTTTTTTAAATGAAATTATTAGATAATGTTTTCATTGAATTTTTAATGAATTATTTTCTATATGTGTTTATATATACGATATCAATCAATCAAATATTTTATATAWKTTATATAAGTTATATACAGTATATATATATAGTATGTGTATTTAAATAAATTAGTGATTAAATACACTCTAGCGATAAGTTATCAATAATTATTTTRTTATTATTATTATTATTGTWACTATTTTTGTGGCCATCCCTCAAAAGTGTCGATATATGTGGGCTAACAGTTTATTTTTTATTTTTTTAATAATTGAATTGATTTATGAAAATGCAACCAAAAAAAAATGTAGGAATTCCCCCCTTTTTCTATAGTTGATGTCATCCATCCCAAACATTTCAACATAAACGAGAGAACCGGTAGTTTTTTCTTTAAAAAAAAATTAGTGTAAAAGCAACAACACACAAAAATGTTAAACCCATTATTTATTTAAATACCCACCACTTAACGTGTGTCATATATTTTTTTTAAAAAATAAAAATAAATTTGGATCTAGTAAAGATTTGGTTAAAAATTTATATATATATATATATATATAATTTGTTTTAGCAATAAATTTTATGTTATAAAATTAGAATAACATAGAAAATTATATAATTAATTTTTTTGTTGCTATCTTTAAATACTACTACTATTCCTCATAATCATCATCACTACCTTTAGGCTAAACATATAGTTAGTATTAGTTTATCAAATTAATATATAGTAATATATATATATAAATAATGTTAATTATTATACAGTATATATATATATATATATATATATATATATATATATATATATATATATATATGGTTGTAAATGCAATAAAAAAAACTAATAATACTTTTTTAATATTTGTGAGTGTAATAATTAAAATGCTAACACACACACAAAAATCGACCAAAAAATATCCCAATTTTCGCAAAAAATAAAATAATTATTATTGAATTACTCTGTAATTAGCAATTAGTTTATGCATTTTAATTTTAACATGTGTGTGTGTGTGTGTGTGTGTGTGTGTGTGTGTGTGTGTGTGTGTGTGTGTGTGTGTGTGATATAAATGTTAAAATGTAATTTAAATGCTATTTATATGATACAAAATTTTATATGTTTATTATCAATGTACATCTCATATATATATATCATATAATATGAGTTTATAATTTGGGTTTTAGTTTTTTTACATTAAAAACAACATTTTAATAAACATAAATTAAAATTTGTTGTAATTTGTGAAAATATTAGTATTTACAAAATAGTTTTGAAAAAAACAGTTTTATATTCATAGAAATACACACAATATATTTAAATTAATATGAAAATCACGAATAAATTTAAGTCACTMTACTTTCAAAGTAAAATACTGTAATATAATTAATTTTTATGTTAAACATATGGAAAAATACATTTTGTTTTTTAAAATAAAAATCATTGTACAGTATTTTTAATAAATAAATAAATATTTKTATTTATGMTAAAATAATATACAATAAATAAATAACAAGTATTTTTCCCCAATTTTTATATTATAGCAATAAACTATTAGAGGCACAAAGTAAATGTATAGTTTTTTTTATTTGATTTACGAAAAAAATATTACTATCGTTTAATAATTACTATCATTAAATCCAATGAACTGATGCTATAAAACTTGATTGCCTGCAAAAAAAGGGGTTTCATCGCACTTATGATTATTATTATTATTACAACTATTATAAACACACTTACAATTTAACCCCTATATTTTTAAGCCCATCAAAGTTAACCCCTTTTTTACCMATAATAATAATAATCGGTATCCTGTTTATAGTTGTTGGTGTAACTTATCAATTGAATGTTGTTTTATTTGGATATATAAAATATAAGATTTCATTTTAGTTATCTATTGAACGAATTTTATTATTATTATAAAGTTTTTTTTTGAGTGAACATCAAATTAAATGCACTACTTTTAAGATATATTATATATATATACAATAAAAAATATGTATTTACTTTTTTGATATAATTTAGTTTATTTATATATAAAATAGTTTTTAATAGAAGTTGRAATAAAATGAATTGTATTTTWTGATACATTTAAWAATATATAATATTATATAATTTATATAAATTAATATTTAAAAATATATTCAATTCAATTCATCAATTGTATAAAAATATTTCTYTATTTATTATTAATTTTTTATTTCTAATATATAAGTAATATAATAAATATATTTTTTTTGTAAGTATAGTTAAATTTTTGGGAGTAGTATATATATGTAAATTATATATATATATATCAATTGAATACCGGTATATACAGTATATAAAATATGG